AGAGAGAGAGAGAGAGAGAGAGAGAGGGTGAGGGGGGTGAGTGTGTGTTGGGGGGAAACTATGGCAAACAGAAACACACATTCACACTGTCGCGTGACATACAACACATATATTTTTGACTTACATTGGCCAGAACAACACCGCTTCCTGTGGCATCAATCTTCACTTGGGCTGGAACCGTGGTACTCTGAAACAAAGACATGCTATTATAGCTTGTTTACTTTCGTCTGACCGCGGATAAAACAAGGTAAAATGAAATCGCTCTGTTCAATCTTCTCAGATCGTTGCATGGCCACAAGAACCCAAAAGCCTGTTCATAACGGTCATTGAAAACTAAGGTTCCGATGCGTTTTCATTGATGTTAGCCTAAAGCGGGGGGAAAAAAAAGAAATAGAAGATTTACAGCACATACCTAAAACAAGAACAAGTTGACATATTAATTATCTAAATTGTGCTGATGTGGGCGTAAAAAATTCTACTACATTAAAAAGAACATCATAACATCATCATTAACATTATCTTCATTAGCATCAGCATCAGCATCACAATCCACAATGAAACAACAGTAACAAATGCACGGACAACATACAACAAGGATGGCAACTCTCACCTCTCTAGTCTGCAACACGAGGGAATTTGTCTTGTCAATGTCGAAATCGTACTTGGTAGATCTGTCCAGGGTGGCAGTAATGTGCACCTGGAACTTGTCACCGTACACCAGCCTATTGAACTCAGACAGGGCATTCAAAGCAACCACAGTGTCCTGGTGAAAGAACCGAGGGTTGGTAGGGGTGGTGATAGAGTTGATGGAGTAGAGAGGATTCACACGTAGTCAGTAAACCTGTATCCATCCAACTTTATTTTTCAACTTTCACCCGATTTTTTGCACTTTTCACAGCTATACGAAGCGTGGCAGAGACATTCGAATGCTGTGAGATTAAAAATAATGTTTCAAACCTTAGTAAAATTACTTGTGGGTTATGTGATAAAGAGATAAGTGGGGCTAACAAGAGTTATAAAATAATGCTTCTTAAAAATGTTCACTGCAAATCAATATTTATAAGTTACCCCATAAATACAGAAAAATGGGTGGACATGGAATAACACCAAGCGGCTAGCCCATGATAGGGAAGGGTGGAAAGTGTTTGTTCGCGGCCTATATCCTGATCCAGGGTGAGAAAGGCAATGAAGATGATGATGATGACCCCTTGAATAGCCCAAGGGCACATTACCCATGAAGCGCAGCGAATGTTTTCAAGGAAATTAACAGAGGCTGCCGCAAGGAGCTCAGCTTCCTTTATTCGAAATTCAAAGAGTAATAACGTGTTATCGTATTGCACTGTGCATTAGCCAGCACACGTGCACTCAATGAATAGCTGTATAAATAGTTAATGAATGTTGACTAGCGGGAGTTGCGGATGGACTTATCATTTAAGATACAAATATTCGCACACGGTATTCGAATAGCATGAATACTGACCTCACGCTTCAAAGCTTTGATAAAGTTATATTATTGCCTCAAAATCGCACAGTATAAAATAGTCAGACAAACACTGAGACTTGTTTCTAACAACATTTTTCCAACTAAAGAGACTCTATTCTTATCTTTATAGATAACGATTACATTAAAAGAAATAATAGTATCTCTTCAGGGCTATGAATACAGACTAGCGTCCCAACATTAAATTCTCAATCTTTGATGCAATCCTTACAAACAGCAGCTCAAGAGTTCACCACAAGAAGCAAATGGTTATCACAATTATAGTGCTTGTTCATGTCACATGAGTACTGAGTCAGTGATATCACAGAGGGTTACATTTGTGCGGAATTGTGCATGTCACTTTGGGTCCTATGCAAAGATTAGGTTAAGTTTATTTATGCTGACAGAAGTCCAAATTATTCCTTTCCTTTCAAGACTTCATTTGATGGGGCCAAGAAAACCCCCAGGATACGTCCATGATAAGAAATAAAATCAGGGTAAATTTGCACTAGTCTGAATACTTACAACAGTACCTGTAGAATATCCCATTGCATAATCAATCACTTGAAAAAAACAATGAATGCATTCACAAACTATATTTCTTTAACAGCCATTCAAGTTAACAACAAGGCAAGTCCACCCCCTCCTAAAATTTTTTAAAATAAACATAGTCGTTAACGTGTCTTAGCCTTTTTTTTCATTTGACTCCTTCATTTGTTGTTCTTCCCAGGATATCGACCTCTTCCCTCTTTGCAGCGTTGGAAATGTACGTATTTCTTGTGGTTTTTAGAGCATGTTTGCAGAAGAAAGAACCATAGAAACCTATTAAACACAAAGGCAATTTTTACCATTCTTATTTGTTAAAGAACCAAGACTTTCTAGTTTCTGCTCTGTCAGCAGCCTACCTGAGTGGAGGAAAATCCACCGTTAGGATTCCTCTGCTGTACCACCCACTGCATGATGCTCTTCCCGTTGATCAGATCTCTACGAGCAGCATAAGTCAGAAGGACGTATGACGTCATTTCTGTATCAATGGCCTTGGCTGGATTGGGTCTATGCCAGGTCGCGGTGCTGGTTGACGTGGTAGTTTGTGGGTAGTGCCAGTACTTGAGTCCATCTGGTGAAGGGAAAAAACGAGAGGGAGAAAAAACACCATTTTATTCATTTTTCAAAGCAACATTGTCTTATTGAGTTACACAATGACAAATTATACACATGGAAGTCGTATATATTTTGCTGTCCTCAGAATGAAAATGACATGCCAGCGAACTCATACAAATAAACATACAAAGCTGAAACACAAACAAACGAACGCACAGCTGCTGGAAACGCGTACACAAAAACACATGGTGATGGAAATTCATAATAAGCAAACAAACAGCTGCTGGAGACTCGTTCATATATAAAACATGGTTCCTGGTAGTCAGCGTTTCGACACAGAGCAAAGTGCTCTGGTTTCATTTTGTTTAGTAAGGAGTTTACGTTTTAAAACAACGCAATCAACGATGATAATCTACATTATATCATTATATAATTTTCGAGGGCACCCTCTTTCAGAGCTCAAAATTTAAACGAAGGTAGAATTCAATATTTCTACTAATTTTACGAGGATGAAGGAGCCAGATTCTCATGATTTTGAACACAGGGGGGAAGTGTAACAAAGGAAATGGTTTTTGTCTACAAACAATTATAACAATAATCACTGAAGAGGCATGCATTTGGTCAGTAAAAGCAAAATTGAATTCTCTATCATTGAAATATGGTTTTAGCCAAGTATGCTCATTGTTTGTTTCCTTGAATGAGTAGAACGGGGGTGGGGAGGGTTTCAAGAATTCAACTTAAAATATTGACAAAAAAGCACATGTTGTGAGTTTTTTTGTCATTGTTCCCAAGATGTTAAAGATATTGAACCCATATTATACATTCATGCTAATAAAAGCCAAATAATGAAACTCCACTTGAAAAATTGAGGTATCTTTTACACAATTATCAGAATGCCCTTTGAAAAATTAACAACATTTTGTGTATTTTCAAATATTAGTCTTATATTCTAAGAGTGTACTTAGAAGCATACAATGCCAGCTGCCATGTTAAAGGTGTTAAAACACCAACACACAGACACGATCTTTCGCTGTCTTTAGCCGGTACTCATGCCACCCAAGGGGGTAGAGGAAGATTGTTGTTATGCGCCGTTTCCAAGGGCACAACGTCACGCCCAGTTGATCCTCGAACTTCCGAATCGACAACCTCACGATTACGAGTCCGGTAGTCTAACCACGAAGATATTAACGCCACATCATCATCATCATCATCATCATCATCATCATCACCACCACCACAATCAACAACAACAACAACAACAACAACAACAACAACGTCAACAACAAAAGCAACTAGACGAACATTTAAACACACGACTGAAACTCGCCCACCCTTGACTGTGGCTTTCTGTTCCAGTTTGTTGAGGACACTTTGGGCCTTGCTACTTCCGGCCAGTTGGAAGGCGTACGCAGCCAGAGCCAGATTGTAGGGGTCATCCTCGTCGACCATCTGGGCCTCAAGGTAGGTTAGTGCCTTGGTGCGGGCTGACTCGAACTTTGTGGCGTAAGCCTATGTAGATTGAGGGGAGATGAAATGAATGAAGTGGAGTCGGGTAGAATATTATTTTTCTATGAGATGAGATGAGATGGGATGAAAAGAGACGAGAAGAGATTAGATGAGATGAGGTGAGGTGAGGTGAGGTGAGGTGAGATGAGGTGAAATGAGGTGAAATGAGATGAAATGAGATGAGATATTCTATCAGATATTATAAGTGAGATGAGTTCCGGTGGAGTTGGATGAGATTGGAAATGATCAGAAACGAGGTGACGCACAAAAAACCCCCTCTAAATGTGTGAGAAAAAAAGGCGCTTTGGCTGAGATACCAGGATAGATGCCATGAAATCAGATGGGATGAATGCATTGATGTCAGATAAGATGAGATGTAATAAATTAAAATAATCAAATAGGGGCCGAGGTGAAATGAAATCATACCAGATCAAGAAATGTAAGATGGGATCAGGTTATGGCGAAATGTCACAGGGCACGAGCTTACATAATAGTGAGACACAAAAGTAGTAAAACTATAAAGCAAACCGCGAGAAAGACACAGACACAGACACACCCACACCAACTCACCCACCAACACACACACACACACACACACACACACACACACACACACACACACACACACCCACACACCCACACACACCCTAGAGAGAGAGACAGACACAGAGAGACACAGAGAGAGAGAGAGAGACTGAGAGACAGAGAGACAGAGAGAGGGAGACATAGAGAAAGAAAGAAATTGTTTGTGTGTGTGTGTGTGTGTGTGCGTGTGTGTGTTTGTGTGTGTGTTTTGTGTGTGTATGTGTCTGTGTCTTTCTGGCGGTTTGCTTATATATATATATATATATATATATATATATATATATATATATATATATATATATATATATAATACACACATACACGCGTGTGCACGAAACACCTAAAGCTACAAATCATAGAGAAACAAATTATACTGAAGTCCAGCAACCATCAAATAAAAGGACGCACCCCGGTGGCGAAGAGATCTTTGTTTTCCATCAAGGAGATAAAGACAAACAGGGTGAGAGCCGTTCCACTGCCAGCCTTGCCCTGAAGACGAAAATGATAAGGTGCTCACTCAACTGGTTAACTCACTGAACTCAGGTTGCGATTTAGCACGCTTGAAGACGCACTATTTTGGGGCACATCACATCGTTATTCATACAGATTTTTCTGGAGTTTATAAAAAATCTGAAACTTCCAACAAAAACCAAAAAAATATATTTAAATTTGTGTTTCAAAATATTACATGTTGTAGAATGTGTTGTTACATTATTCACAAAGTCCGCAAATACTTTTGTTTTGTTTGTTTAATAAGTCAGAACACAATTTTTTCGGATAAAAATCTACACACGATTACATTCTTTTGGATTCCCACCCATACTTAGCATTGTTTGGGTGTGTGAGCATAAGATTAACTCGTGAAAATTGAAGATTAAAAACAGCGCAGCATAGACTAGTACACTATCATCTGTCCTAAAACCTTTCCATTTGGCGAACCAATAATGTCGCTAAAGATAGGATATTCTCTATCGAAAAGGATGTAAAATTTTAACACACTCCTGAAAAAACCCACCTGCATGCTCTTGTGAATAACCCGCCCTGGCTCAGGGAAGGAGCCGTCTGAGTTCTGTTTGTTCAGCATCCAGTTGACAGCTCTGGTTATGACGTCATCATCCACGTAGATATGGGAACTGGCTTGATGAAAAACTTTCACCACGAACGCTGTCAACCTAGATTGTCGGATACCAGTCATTAGTAATTGATACAGTTTGTTCATTTTTGGTTGTTTCTGTGTTTATTGTTTCCATTGTTATAGTGCCGTTTGTTGCTGTTGTCGTCATAGCGTTTTTTGTTGTTGTATAGTTGTTATAGTTGTTCTAGTGTTGTTTTTGTTGTTGCTGTAGTTATAACGTTGTTTTTTTGCTGTTGTTATAGTATTGTTTGTCGTTATTATTTTTGTTATAGTGTCGTTTGTTGTAGTCGTCGTTATAGTGTTGTTGTTGTTATTGTTGTTGTTGTTGTTGTTGTTGTTATCAAAGTGTTGTTTATGCTGTTACTGTTGTTATGAATTGATGTATTCAAAAACGTTGGAAACAGATGAAGAGACGAAATATAAAAAGACAAAGAAAAAAAAGAGACATGGACCGGCAACAGATGATAGAAATGAAGTAGGACCTTCTGATGACATCCTCCAGCCATCAGTCAAAATCTTTTTAAAATGCTTTATATAAAAAGGCTGAAGAACGAGAAGACACCGTATCTCGTTCTCTGGGTTGTTGTTGTTGTTACGGTTGTTGTTAGAAATTGTTGCTGATCTATTAGTGCTATTATTGTTATTGAATTAATTGCTATAATTGTTATCATTGCTGTGGTTGTTGTTGATGATGTTGTTGCTGTTGTTGTTGTTGTTGTTGTTGGTGTTTTTGATGATGTGTTGTATTTGTTAATGTTGTGTTATCATCATTTTGGCTGATATTGTTGTTGATATTGTTGTTGATATTGTTATGGCTCTCGGTGTTCTTTTTGTTATTGTCGAAATTTAACCATTAACCGTTCATTGTCAGAGATGCAAAACCTATTTTTTTAAAAACCACACACACACACACACACACACACACACACACACACACACACACACACA